CGTTTTTATTTTTTTTTTTTCTTTGGACTTGGAACTTGAAAACTGGACGATTGTTTTCGCCTTGTTTTAATGTTCTTGGTTCTTTCTTTTTTTATTCCCCATTTTTCCTCGGGTACCGATTTGTTCTACTGTTGAGCTATCCGAGGTTTTGTTCTAAGTTGAGCTATCCGAGGTTTTTCCAAACGAGTACCACCATATATATATATATATATATATATATATATATATATATATATATATATATATATATATGATGAGTTTCACTAAAGACGATTGACGAGGCACAAAGCGAACTCGATTCTCAAAAGACTCACATGTCGAACAAATCGGTTTTCGAACAGAAAATTCCAGATGAAAATTCCTCGGTTATCGAAAAAAATTTCGGTTCTCGAACAACATAGCCGAATCAAATTAACCCGAACAAAATCATTTCTGACTCGTCCGCCGTGTTGTGCTGTGCTTTTCTTTTCCAATTTTATTGTACTGTGCCTTCTTTTTCTCTACATTGATTCCTATTCGAAAAATAGTTTCGGTTTACGAACATTTTGGGTTACGAACAGCCTTCAGGAACGAATTTACTTCGTGAACCGAGGTTCCACTGTACTACATTTTTATTTAAATTTTCTTGTGTTCTTATAAATTTTTTCTTTTCGGGATCTATAAGAAAAAAACTTATTAAAAAAATTAACTAAAAAGTTTAAACTCACTTTAATGAAACTTGTATAAAAGAGGGACTGTTGCCCAAACTTGTCGGTACGACAATCAAACCATGTCGTCCGCCCAGGCTTGCGACCTGGTGAGGTCAATCCAGTCTGAACACCAAAAGCGTGAATTTTTTACCAAACAAGGAGCTACCTTTATTTTGCGAGATAAACAGATGCCTACACAATGTGCAACCATATGTGAATATATACGAGAGACGTTCTGAAATAATTCCTCCTCCTCTTTATTTTATTCTTTTCGTTTTGAACCCCGTTTATCTTTTATCCTTTCTTTAATCCCACCCCCTATACCAAGCCTTTGCTCTCACTTTCACTCTCTGTAACCCCCTACGTACTAGTAGTGGCTTTCCCGCTTGGGGTGAAATGATTATAAAAAATAGATTCCAAGTAACACAGCGGGATCAAAATAACACAATTGGATAGAACAAAATTTCAGCTACAAAACAACATTCTTCTATATAGTCACCACCAGCGGCTATACATTTTCGCCCTTAAATTAATATCTCTTGTTTATTTACACATAAACGACAACAGATACAGGGAACAATAACTCTGTTGAATAGAGCAATTTCTCAGCTATTTATTTATAGTTACTACTTACTATTGGCTATGCATTTTTGTGACTATCTTTATTTTGTAGGTTTACAGTTGTACAATGTCGCAGACACATGGCTACCGGCATCGTTGAAATGCATTACCCAAGACAAATTGTAGTTACATAATATAAAAAAAAAAATTAAAAAATATTCAATAAATGTTTAAACTGAGTACCTTTCAGTCATCTTTAATGGAACTTGTATAAAAGCCCAATCTTGTCCGTACGACAGAGAATCAGACCACGTAGTCCGCCCAGGCTTGCGACCTGGTGAGGTCAATACAGTCTGACCACCAAAAGATTGAATTTTGACCAGATAGGGCGCTACCTTTATTTCGTGAGATAAACGGGTGTCTACCACAATTGGAAAAATGTCCGGCCTATACCGAAAAACGACGTACTAAATTAAACGCGTCAATTTTGTTCTTTTATTTCCACTGTTAAAAAAAGTTGATACATATCTGTAATTCAATCGTTTTTATGAAAGCTTATCAAGGTTCAAGATATACTCATAATAGATGGTTACCGATTGAGGTGTGTGATATGAACGTATGTATTACTATCTAACTTAATAAGATACACTTTTTAGCCATCGCTACAATTAGGAAAATGTCGGACTTGTTTGTACAGAAGGCCAAAGTACTAAATTAAAAGTACAATTTTCTTCTCTCTTACACTGTTAAAAAATACAATATTTATCGACATCTAAATTGAGTTTTTTTTTTACTAAAGTTCTTTCACTCCGAAGGCCAAGAGCCACTCAAGTTAGAGGATTACCGAATGAAGTATGTGATATGCACGTAAGATGAGGAAACAGAAAGTGGATTTTACGGGGATATATAACGACTGTCACTCGATTTGAAGACGTTGGCCTGTAAATATTCTTTGTTCATACGCTATATAGTTCACGGTTATCCACACCTTCCTTTTTTGTTCTTCTGAGCAATACCTGTTCCTTTTGTGACCTTTGTCTCTATAGTACATGTGCCACCTTACAATTTGCTTAATTTTGTCAGACAAGGTAGTCATTGCGTTCTTTTGCTTCTCAATGTATCATGTGAGTGTAAGATTTGCCAAGCCTACGTTCCTCAGTATATGCCCTGTCGGCTGGGGCTTCAGAATATGCGGACTCTACCTCTGCAGAGGGATATGATTCCCCACCCCACGAATAAGGCTTCCTGGGTATGACAATAAACTCCATCCGGCAGCAAGACCTCCGATCAGTAGGTCTTGAGGAGCGTGGAACCACCTCTTAATTGCTGGTGTTACCAGATCAACCCTGGCCCGGAGTGGTAGCAATTGTTAGAGTGCCAACTATGGGTAAATAGTTAACCTCCAAACTGGGGCCAAAACACTATGAAAGTGTAAAAATACGTATTAGCGCAGCAATATAATTTTTGGAAAAAATATTACCATGAAAAAAGAAAATTACCAGCAATAAAAGTCTTGTTGGCATTAAATAACACATTCAGGTTGATATGCCATAAACCAAACCAAACCAAACCAAACCAAACCAAACCAAACCATCTAGATATTACGAATGTTAGTACAAATTTCTTTACTACTTTAAACATGCCTCTTTTCCAAATGACTTCGCTAAATTTCGTCGGTAAATGCACATCTCTCTCGCTTCAAATTCTTTTCCCCACTTGTGACGAAATTATACAAAATTCCCTGCCAAACAATGGGGCAATCCTTACGTAGATCAATATTCGTAATTTGTGAAGACTTTTGGCTTGCCTCTGATGAGAGAGGATCGATAAACTGGTTTAGTTGTTACTAATCGCTATATTTCGGCATTATCAATTTACGGTTATATTTCGGCATTACCAATTTACGGTTATATTTCGGTATTAACAATTTACGGTAATATTTAGGTGTTACCAATTTACGGTTATATTTCAGTATTACCAGTTTACGGTTATATTTCGGTATTAACAATTTATAGTTATATTTAGGTGTTACCAATTTACGATTATACTTCGGTATTAACAATTTATGGTTATATTTCGGTATTAAAAATTTACGATTATATTTCGGTATTATCAAATTACTGTTGTATTTAGGTGCTACCAATTTACGGTTATAAATCGGTGTTATCAATTTACGGTTGCTTTCGGTATTACCAAATTACAGTTATATGTAGTTGTTCGAATTTATGGCTATATTTCGCTATTAACAATTTGCAGTGATATTCAGGTGTTACAAATTTACGGTTATATTTCGGTATTACCAATTTGCGGTAATATTTAGGTGCTACCATTTTACGGTTATATTTCGGTATTACCATTTTACAGTAATACTTAGGTTATACCAATTTACCAATGCATAGCCAATTTACGGTTATATTTCGGTATTACCAGTTTACGATTATATTTCGGTATTAACAATTTACGGTTATATTTCGGTATTAACAATTTACGGTTATATTTAGGTGTTACCAATTTACGGTAATAGTTAGGTTCTACCAATTTACCAATGCACAGCCAATTTACGGTTATATTTCGGTATTACCAATTTACGGTTATATTTCGGTATTAATAATTTACGGTTATATTTCGGTATTAACAATTTACGGTTATATTTAGGTGTTACCAATTTACGATAATATTTCGGTATTAACAATTTATGGTTATATTCTGGTGTTAAAAATTTACGATTATATTTCGGTATTACCAAATTATGGTTATATTTCGGTGCTACCAATTTACGGTTATATATCGGTATTACAAATTTACTGTTATATTTGGGTGTTACCAATTTACGGTTATGTTTCGGTATTATCAATTTACGGTTATAATTTAGTGTTACCAATTTACGGCTATATTTCAGTATTATTAATATTAGGTTATATTTTGGTATTACGAATTTACGGTTATATTTCAGTGTTACCAATTTACGGTTATATTTCAGTATTACCAATTTACGATCATATATTTATTTTTGTTACCTCTCATTTTGAATGTCCTCGTTATGAAAGAAAAAGAAGGAAGTTGTTACCTCGCTATGAATGTCCTTTTAATATGCCCCCCTTTTATCGCTTCAACTCGGATTTTCTTTTCTAATTGTCTCCCTAAAAGAGACGATGTAATTCAGTCACACCCACAATTCTTCTTCCAAGTACCATCTCCTATCAGGACATAGACAATCACGGCTCTCTACAACTTCCTCTCCCTTGTAGCTCTTAGTAATGTTTGTCTTTTTGTCATCTCTCATGGCTTCTTTTCCGTTATTATTTTACACAACTTTGTGGGGTACTTGGACCGCTGCCTTTCCCCGCGTCTTCATCCCTACCACTTGGAACAAAAATCAATTTAGCACTTTACTAGAGGGCATAGGGTGACTAGATATAAGCCAAGTCCGCCATTGAATTGGAAAATATCTGTCTACGCTCGAATAATTCTCCACTGATTATTCATTTAACTGGTATTTGGCTTTTAACGTGATCTTTTGTTGAAAGGTTTTAAAATTCTAAAATTCCCAAGATGTTCGAATTGAAACTCGCAAAAATTTCAGAATTTTCCGGATCTTTGACGAGAAAAAGCAAATATGTTTTTTTTCGCAAATTTGAAGCCGCCCCCCCTCCAATTTTTGAACTCTTTTGTTATGATAAATAGACACTTTCTGAGAAGTTGAAAATGGCAAATAAATTGAAAAAGAAAAAAAAAATAAGGGAAAAGATTTTAAGTAAAGAAAGAAAATTTAAAAAAAAAACGTAAAGGTTGTGGGGTCTGGACGTTGGGTGGAGGTCTCCAGATTGTGCAGGGGTGAAGGGGGAAAGGCCCACGATTAGAGAAAGAAAAAAAAAACAAAGAAAGAAAAAAAGGAGAAAGAGAAGAAAGAAAAAGGAGGAAAAAAGAGAGACAGAAATGGAGGAGGTGAAACAAGAAAAGATGCGGGCGCCAGAAAAAAAGAAAAAGAAAAGACGGAATATAAATACATCTCAAAAGAAGGAGAATGAGATTTGAATGAAGAGAAAAATAAAAATAAAAAGAAGGTCGAGCAAAAAGAAGAAAGAAAAAGAAGAATAAAGAAAAGATGAAAGAAAAAAGAAAGAAAGAAAATGAAAAAGAAAAAGAAGAAAGTAAAAGAAGGAAGAAAAAAGAAAAAGAATAAAAAAGAGAGAGAAAGAAGAAAGAAAGAAAAAGAAGAAAGAAAAAGAAAGAAAAAGAAGAAAAAGAAAGAAAAGGAAGAAAGAAAAAGAAGAAAGAAAAAAGAAGAAAGAAAAAAGAATAAAGAAAGAGAAAAAGAAGAAAGAAAGAAGAAAGAAAGAAAAAGAAGAAAGAAAAAGAAGGAAGAAAGAAAGAAAGAAAGAAAAAGAATAAAGAAAAGAAGAAAGAAAAAGAAGAAAGAAAATGAAAACGAGAAAGAAGAAAGTAAAAGAAAGAAAAAAGGAAAAGAATAAAGAAAGAGAAAAGAAGAAAGAAGAAAGAAAGAAAAAGAAGAAAGAATAAGAAAAAGAAGAAAGAAAAACGGACGATTGGAAAAGAGAAAGAATGCAATTCTAGGAAACCGAAAAAAATAGATGAAAAAAAAAAAATAACCCAGATCTCTGGTGGTAATATGCAAAAGAATGATTTTTTTTTCTTCATCTGCTTATTCTTCACATTGTTATCTCTTTTTCACCGTAGTTCTGGGCATGACGATAAACTATACCCGGCAGCATGGGAAAGGGACTGAAGCCGAGATGCCAGGTCAGGAGCAATAACATATACTGATTCTTTAACATCGGTCTCTGTACGCTCATCGAAGTTAAATAACATTGAACCTGGTCGGTATCTAGATGAGTGACCGCTTGGGAATATCAGGTGCTGTAAGCTTGGATGTGCGGGTGGTGTAATGGATAATGACTTGGAATTGTTAATAGGAGAGCCGAGTTCAAATTCCCCTTGGGTTCTTTTGTATTCATTTATGCGCAAATACTCTTGGGAAAGGTATGAATGCCCCTCTGCTCCCCTCAGCTATGGGTTAATTAATACAACCTGTATCACTAAACCATTATTATCTAAAAAATCAAATAAATTCATACAATCTAAAAGGAAAAAAAGTCTGGCTTTAAATAACCTGTAAAGGGTTGATAAGCCGTAAAAAACGAATCAGTCATAAAAAACCAATCAAACAAGAAAGAAAATCGTAAGTAGAATAAAAAAGGATCTGATCAAATATTTAACGTAACTGTTAGCTCACCACCGAGTGAATGCAAATGAGAATGAAAAGACTTTGTCCGAGAGCTGAGAAAGGTATCAAATATGAAGGTTACAATCATCTTAATAATAAATGATACTGAGGAAGGTGCTGGGGATTTGGGTGCATTTGCTGTCACTCTTTCTATAGCGATGAGCACAAAGATATCTAGAGGCAAAAGGCAAATATGTTAATAACAAATGATACAGAGGAAAGTAGAGGAGATTTGAGGAAATTTGCTGTCACTCTGTCTTCAGCCGTGACCACAAAGATATCTAGAGTAAAAATGCAAAAATGCAAATATGTGAAATATGTTAATAATAAATGATACCGAGGAAAGTGCTGGGGATTTGAGGAGACTTGCTGTCACACTCTCTTCAGCGATGACCGTCAGAAATGTGAAATATGTTAATAAGAAGAGATACTGAGGAAGGTGCTGGAGATTTGTGGACATTTGATGCCACAATGTCTTCAGCGATGGCCACCAGATATCTAGTGGAAAGATGCAAATATGTGATATTTTATTAATAAATGATACTGAGGAAGGTGCTGGAAATTTGTTGACATTTGCTATCACTCTTTTTTCAGCGATGACCACCAGATATCCAGTGGAAAGATGCAAATATGTGAAATATGTTAATAATAAATGATACTGAGGAAGGTCCTGGAGAGTTGAGGACATTTGCTGTTAGTCTTCAGTGATGACCACCAGATATCTGGTTTATAATGAATCAATAATAATAATAATAATAATAATAATAATTATTATTATTATTGTTTACCAGAATGTTGGATGTTCAGGCCAGTATTGTCCATATTATCATTTAGCTGCTGGTTGGAGAAAACCGGAATAAAACCAATTATGCCATATGTTTTGAAGTTTGCGTTGCTTGATATTGGAAATATTCTACGATCGGTGGTCTCTGTCAGAGAACGTACGGCAACTCAGTTTCACAGCTTTGCAAAATGGCACGAAAATAAGCAAACGAATAAATAAAAAAGCAACGGGTTATTAGCGAAAAGGTTTTACTCCCACTTTTTACAGCGTGGGCCAACAGGAGGCATTACGATCCTTGTAATCTAGAGCTTCGCCTTGATTTCTGTAAAACACGAGAAACCGCTCTCTATTTCTCACCAATGATAGAGGTCGGTGATGGAGTTCAGAAAATCGCCGCCATTTTGGAAGCAGATTTTCAAGGCGTGCAGTTCTACTCGATTTGAAAGATTTGTCCATCAGACTCTTTCTAACCTATTCCCCACACTTTTAGTTCTACGCCGTGACAAACTGGAAAATACAAGACAGAGAGAAATACGGGTCAAAAACAAAGAAACCAATTATGGACAAGGTGGGGAAGATATGAAAGCCCTTATAAGGAAACGAGAAGGAGAAATTGGACTACAAAAGAAATTTCAGAAAGAAGAAATAAAAAAGAATTGGAGGGAAGCTGAATTCAGTGTAAGATGAAAGGAATCAAAGAGGAAAGGTTGGCCAATTTTCAGGTCATTTCTAAGTGGAGAGTTGAAAGACCTCGGTCATGTGATGGGCTTCAATGTCGTCCTTTTTCTGGTTCTGCCAGTGAGGCTGGAGGGTGATTATTAGTCACAGGGTAAGTGCAGTTGTGGATCTGTATGCTGGGCGGGGATCAGTAGAGTGCATATGGGGGATAAGAAAGGGATATGGCGGGAGAGAGAACCCAACAAAGAAAGACAAAAAAAAAAAAAAAGAGAAAGAAAAACAAAAGATGAACAAGAGCGAGAGATAAAAGGGGAGGATGAGGAAGAAATGAAAAAGGGATCAATAGAAGAAAAAAAAGAAGGGAATCTAAAGAAATCTCAAAAGGTGAAGAAGAAAAATGGAAGAAGAAAAGTTGAAGAATAATAAGAAGAGATAAAAAGGGAGGATGAGGAAGAAACAAGAAAAGAAATAGAATGAATCTAAAGAAATGTCAAAAGAAGGAAAAGAAAAATGGAAGACGATTGTTGAAGAAGAAAAAACGAAAGCGAAAATGAAAAGAAAAAGAAGCAATAACACCGAAAACATTTGAAAATGTAAAACCGTAAAACAATATATTTAAAAATGAAAAGGGTCTAGAAGATGTGGGACAAAAATATGAAGAGAGAGAGAGAGAGAGAGAGATGGGGGAGCCAGAGTGGGATAGATAGAGAAAGAAGTGGGAGGGGGAGCCAGAGTGGGATAGATAGAGAAAGAAGTGGAAGGGGGAGCCAGAGAGGGATAGATAGAGAAAGAAGTGGGAGGGGAAGCCAGAGAGGGATAGATAGAGAAAGAAGTGGGAGGAGGAGCCAGAGAGGGAGGGGGAAGCGAGAGAGATGGAGAGAGAGGGGGAAGCGAGAGAGTGAGCGAGGAGAAGGAGAGGAGCGAGAGAGAGAGGGGAGAGAAAGGGGGAGCGAGAGAGGGAGTGAGAAAAGGAGTTGGAGGGGGAGCAAGAGAGAGAGAGTGGTTGAAGGAGAGAGTTGGAGAGAGAAGGGGAAGCGAGAGAGAGAGAGAGAGGAATCGAGAGAGAGAGGGGGAGAGGAAGAGAGAGGGGGAGAGGAAGAGAGAGAGAGAGAGAGAGAGGAGGGGGAGAGCGAAGTAAATAGCAGCCAGAAATAAATGATTTGAAAATTGAAAAAAATAAAATAGAACAAAATATAGAGAAAGAGAAAGCATAAGAATGAAAAGTAAAAAGAAAATGTAAAAGTGAAATTGAAGAAAAATGAGAAGAAAAAAGGCCGAAGTTGTAAAATAATCGGGAAAATTAGGAAAAAAAGAAAAAAAAGTGAAGCGTAAATATAGAATAAATAAAATTGAAGAAAAAATGAAAAAAAAAAAAAAAGAGAAAAGTGAATGAAAGAAACATTGAAGAAAAGGAAGAAGCTGGAGGAGAAAGGGGGAAAGAGAGAAATGGGTAAAAGTCAATGAGAAGGGGAACAGAAAGAGCAATTGGAAATGAAAACGAAGAAGAAGAAGAAGAAGAAGAAGAAGAAGAAATATAAAAAAGAGCGGAATCTAAAGAAATCTTCAAAGGACACACACACACACACACACACACACACACACACACACACAACACAAACGTTTCCAAAATATAAGACTGAAAAATTAAAGATTTTTGAAGGTGCAAAAATGATGTCGAAGAAGTACGAAATGAAGACCCACGGAAAAAGGATCTAGAGAAAAACAAAGTTCGAAAACGAAAAAAACAAAACAACCCCCCCCCAAAACTCAAAGCATTCAAAAGAAGAGAAAAATATGATGAAAGGACGAAGACGATGTCACTGAAATAAGGCATTTGTCTTTTGAATGAGAAAGAAATAAAGAATCATTTGAAAGAATATGAATTAAGGAATTTGAAAAATGAAAGAAAATCAAATCAAAAGACCGAATGAAATATAAAGGAATCCAAAGAAAGTAATAAAGCGATGATAAAAGCAAGAAGAAGTATTTGAAAGGATTGGAAGTTGAAAGAAAATCAAATAAAAAAGACCGGATGTAGGGGAAAAAAAGTCAGAAAGAAAACGAAGAGATGACAACAACGTCAACAACATAGTAATAATAATAATAATAATAATAATAATGATATCTATGTAAAATGTGTGTGTTATTTGTTTAAAATGCTCAGTGGAAAATGTCATGATGCCATTTTTGAATTTAGGTCTCTGGTTGGGACCCAGAACGAATTGAGTAAACACCAAAAATCAAAGGAAATAAAATAATAAGAAAAATAAAGGAAGAAAAATAAGAATAAAGGGTCTTGAAGATTGAAAGAAAATAAGAAACATGGATAAAGTGAAGAAGAAAGAAAGAGATGTAAAAAAAGAAAGATAGAAAGAGAGAAGAAAAGAAAGAATGAGGAGTAGAGTCATTAAAAGGATGGAAAATTGAAGGAAACTAAAAATTATCGGATGCAGTGAAAAAGATTAGGAAGAAAAACGAAGAAATAATAATGATAATAATAATAACAATAATAATAATAAAAATTATAACAATAATAATAATAATAATAATAACAATGATAATGATAATAACATAATAATAATGACGATAATAACAAAATGATAATAACAATAATAATAATGACGATAATAATGATGATAATAATGATAATAATAATAATAATGTTAATAATAATGACAATAATGATAAATAATAATGATAATAACAATAATAATAATAATGACAATAATGATAATGATATTAATAATAATGATAATAATAATAATAATGACAATAATAATGATGATAATAATAATGATAATAATAATAATGTTGATAATAATGACAATGATATAATAATAATAATGATAATAATAATGACAATAATGATATAATAACAATAATAATAATGATAATGATAATAATAATAATAATAATAATGACAATAATGATAAAATGATATTAATAATAATG